TCTGAGTGGCCTGTGCTTCTCTTTCCTGGAGTCAGGACTGAGCCCGTGGCTGACCTGTCTGGAAGATGGGCTCTGGTCTCTCCCTGAAGTCTACTGCAAGCTGGAGTGTGACGCTCCCCCTGTTATTCCAAATGCCAACTTGCTCCTGCCTCACTGTCTCCGAGGCCACCACGATGTGGGTACCGTCTGCAGATACGAATGCAAACCAGGATACTACGTGGCAGAAAGCTCAGAGAGTAAAGTCAGGAAGTAAGTGGATCGTCCCCACCCTCACAGGCCTGTCTTGCTGTGTCTGTCTCTCTGTGTGAGTCTCTTCACCTGCACATTGTCCAGTCATAATAGGCAGGTGACCTGCTGTTGCTTGCTGTAAACACACTTTCTTCTACAGGAGATTCCACAGTCTCAGCTGAGTATTTTTTAGAAGAACTTCTGTGTTAATTATTGTTTTCTTAAAGTAAGTGTCAGGAGTCTCCTGGGTGCTCTGCATGTCATCAGTATCCAAGTATGTGATGGCACGTCCTCATGCTACAGTTTACAATCACAGGCTCTGGGAGAAACTGCCTCCTGGTCCCCAGTTCAGACACTTATTATCTGTGTGATATTGAAAAAGTTTTTTCCTTGGCCTCATTTTTCTCATCTGTAAAATGAGAATGATAATACTAATATCTACTTAATAGGGCCGGTGTAGAGACTAAATGAATTTGTATGAATAAACTATACAATTCAGCAATTTTTTTCTAAAACATGAGATGTAACGTATTTTGGTTATTGTTAGGATTACAGCTTTCTGAAACGCTCCTTCTTGACCTTTATGTATGTACATTCCTAAATTTACAGCCAGGGGCACCTGTCTTCTAAAGTTATGGGGAATTGAATAGAACAAAAGCTTTACTACAGAACTTAAGAGGAAGGGCTTTCAGGAGAATCATTCTGGGTTTAAATCCCTATCCTCTCTTTATCACCTGAGTAACCTTAGGCAAGTTAGTAAGTCTTGTCTGGTCTCCTTTCTTGTAAATTGAGGACAATACCCACAGAAGAAGGTTGAGCTGAGAATTAAATGAGGTGATGTATATCTGGCCCAGTGCCAGCTTGGGTTAATTGTTCAATAAATTGTTTCAGAAGAAGACACTTTTTCTGAGCAAATAAACAAAGAACTTTCAGTAAAAAACTTCTTGCGTTTAGTAAATAGTAGCTATTTTTTCCTCCACCATAAATTATGTAGGTATTGGAGAAAATCAAATCCATTTCTGACCCAGCTCTTAGTTCAAAGCCGGGCCATAGGTATTCTTCTTTAAGATTTTGTTTGAACTGATACAATTCTAGCCAGATGTTACCAGTGCTGCCAGGAAATCTAATCTTTGCTTATCAGCTGGAGTTATCTAACGGAACATTAAAAAGAAAGAAAGAAGGAAAGAAATCAGGAAAGAAAGTTCCTATGTGGCTCACATCCTTCCTCTGGTCAATCAAACCCCAGCACATGAATATGGGACAGATAGAGCCATGGCCTTGCCCAGGGCCTTCCATTCCAGAAAAGTCCCAGGCTCATACATGGGAGAGGAAGAGCAAGCCCATTCCCTGCCTGCCCTCCCAGAACATGAGTAATATTGATGAAAATTTCATGACAGGGGCAGGGCTTATGCTGGCCCCATATATTGGAGGTGGCGGGTTCAAACCTGACCCTGGCCAAAAAAAAAAAAAAAAA